CCCCCCCCCCCCCCCCCGTGTGCGATACATGCAGCATAGCTTCTTCGATCCCCAGACTATCAATGATGCCGCGGCTTTCCTGATCCGCCAGTGCACTCACAATTGGGCCGACAAGGACGTGGTCACCATCTTCAAGGCCTTTGTCCCTGGTCTGAAGAACTCGAGCCCCGAAACTCCGCTACTGATCAACGATATCACCATCCCCAAACCTGGAACCTGGCCACGTCATTAGGAGCGCAATATACGCCAGGTCGTTATGGTGATGCTGGTCAACTGGGGCTAAACAACGCACGAAGGCCGAGTTTGAGCAGCTTCTGAAGCAGGCGGACAAGAGATATGAAATCAGGAATGTCTTTGATGATGGACCATTGGGTTTTCTGGAGGTTTATCTGAGAAGATAGGTGCATTTTGAACAAATGGTGTGGAGGTGGCTTGATGTGCGTATTCCACCTAGATAGGATAATTTCCTTCCAGGCTGCGTCTTTGCCCTTCTTTGCCTGAGAAGCTGCCTACATTATGATACAAGAACCAGTTCCAGTGCTGGGCCGATTCGAATTAGAGGTACGGCTAGTGAAACCCGAAGCCTTTGTTCTCTGCGAAGCGGCCCATTTGTCTCCAGAACTCTGAGCACGAGATGCAAAGCCTCCCGAGCTCATGTTACCACCGCGCTTAGCCTGTTATCTCGTTAGAAACAACATTATTGAACGTTAATAGTGTAGTATGCTTTACCTGTGATGACTGAATTCGTGAAGAATCTGATTTGGTCATATTATGTTTGGGCATTTTCGTCAATGGAGCTGTATATTCGCTGAAGTCAGAAAGATGATGCTCTTGTGTTACTTGGGGATGTCAAAGTGAACGGAGTGATGTAAGTACCTTTGGTACCAGGGCAGAAGAGTACTAGTAATGAACTGGTTTGATTGAAGAAGACGAAAGAGAACGAAAGTAAGGGAGGGAAAATCCTTCAATATATGTAGGTACATATAAGACGAGAGTGGTAATCTAGGTATGTGTGGATCGAAAATTCATCTGGCTGAACTGAGAGAATGAGTGTGAAAGGCCGGACACGACAGGTTGCCAACGAAGTCTCGCTTGGTTGCATCTCAGATAACACGTGCATGATTTGAGACGACGTGGACGATGCTCCAAGCATATTCAACCGTGCTTGTTTGCCTAAAGAAGTTTGCACATAGGCGGTTGGCTAGAGGTGCATGTTTGCATTCAGCTCGCCTCCCATCAGGATGAACGAAACAGCCAACCATCTCATTGCCAAGATCAAGTTCCCGTCTGATACGAGCCTGACTGGATGGATGCACTCGCTCGGATTGGCGTGAAGGAGGGTAACAGATATGTTGGGAGATTGGCAGACGACAAGACGCTGGGTGAATAACGAATGACCACAGAAGCAGGATCAACAAAATGACTTCTCTTGATGAAGAGTATATGCTCCTTGGAACAAGGTAGGGAGCCGACGTGACAAACATGTTTGCACAGTACGGACAAGGCGCTACAAGAACGGTCAACATCACCGGGTTCGGCCAGCAGGAAGCCGAGTTTGTCGACGGACTCAGGTTTTCCATGATTGCCCGTCACAAACGACGGTATTGCTCCTCCACCCGGAACCGTCTCGCTGAACTCGTTTTGTCTGGGCTGTGAATACAAGCAACCAAATGCGACGATGAGCACGACCATGAGCGTTCCTTGTGAGTTTTTACCGTCTCCGTCCTCGGGTTTCCTTGAACGCCTCCCCGCCTGCTAATAGCGGAGCTAGTCAACCGCTTGAAGCTGGTCGCGCTAAGACCTGGCGACTCGTCTCCCACGACCATGCTTACCGTGGCGAGAAGACCACTGCACGCGCCAGCTTCCGCTCGTTTTAAGAATTGATGGATCCCGCCAATTTGAAGGTGTTAGGAGTTGACTGAGGACAGAATCGTGGTCACAAACATCACGGAAGTTGACCGCGAAAGGCAAACTAAAAGTGTATAAACGTGAGAGACACTCCTATAGACCTATATTACACGTATCCCCGTTTTCAAGACACTTGTACCAATAATTAAAACTCGCTTGCGTGCGATTCCTGCTCCTATCGCACCTACAACTACAGAGCGCCACATCTGGTGCTTCACAGATCGTTCAAGGCAGCAACCAGCCAGTGTGGTTGAGGTCTTCTCGCTGCTACTAGCAGTGACGGGAATGACGAGTTCAGTGGTGCTCGCTACGCTCGCTGCAAGTACGGGCCTTGAACAGAGTGGCGGAGTCGAGGACGGTGTTGTTGTTGCTGGCGACAAAATCGTGGGTCAGGTGGGTGCAGTTGTAGAAGATCAGGCGGTTCCAACTGTAGGTGGCGTTGGTCGTGTCAAGGCCGAAGCGGCTGTAAGGCTGGCGGGGGCTCTGCAGGGGGTCGAGGCCGTCGTAGTGGCCAGCTGCGCCGTTGGTGATGTACCAGGGAGAAGTGGGATTCTCCAGGCCGTTGGAATCCTCTTTGCCCTCGGCCAGTGGTGCCAGGCGCCCGTAGACGTGCGAATGGCCCGACAGCACCAGGTCGACATTGTACTTGATCAGCAACGGCTCGAAGACGTCCTTGCACGTGGGGCAGGTATCATCGGTGTTGCTGAGGTACAAGGCTCGTGTTGCGATCCAATCGTTGAGCCTCATGTATTTAGATAGAATTGAACAATCAGATAGGACCCAGGGTCCCGAGTTTACGGGACTACGGGAGGGGGCTGAAGACCAGTATATAAGAAGGCCTCCCGGCCTTCGTTATTATGGTTCTTCAGCAAGCAATAGTTTTCACAATCAACCAGTACCTTTTGGCTACTACTACCGTTGTCCTACATCCCAGCGATATACTCCTGTACTTGTAACGGTTCGTCACAGCCCGGTAGCCGGCCACAACAACCCAGGGAGTCTTGGAGCGGTCAACGGCCGCCAGATCGGCTTCCAGCCAGGTAATCTGCGCGTTCATGGTCGCATTGACCGGATCCACATCGGTGAAACCCTTGAATACGCCGGTTTGGTCGGGGCCGATGAAGCCATGGCCCAGGTCGGTCTCGGTATCGAGCTCGATGAAGTGCACCATGCCATGGTCGAAGCTGTACCAGAAGTTGCCGGTGCCGCTGGAGACGTCGCTAGGCATGCGGAAGTGGTTCTTGAAGCCGGTGAAGTTGGTCTGGCCCTGCATACAGATACTGCTATCGTACGTGATGTTGTGCGCCTTGTCCGTGGTGCCAGCATTGTCACAGTTCGCCTCGTGATTGCCGGGGCCCACCATGTACGACTTGCTGGCGGTGATGGCCATCATTTCGTCGTAGAACTCGTTCAGAATCGACTCATACACGGCGGCCCCTCCCTGAATCGTTGTGTTGGGCAGGAATCCCTGGATCTCTTCCTTGAGCCAGTAGTCGGCGTACGCAATGTTGCCCGCATGCCAGAGGAAGTCGAAGTCAGCGAGGCTGCTTTCCAACGAGTCGATAGTGTTCTTCTCTCCTGGCCGAAGAATATTGGTACTCGTCACGGGAGCGCCCGCGGATGTGGTCAGGCCCAAACTACCCATGGTACCGAGGTCAATGACGACGGCGGCCGAGAAGGGGGTGTTGTCACCAGCCCTGCGGCTCGTTGTAAAGTTGAAGATGTCGGTCGAGGTGCTCTTCATGAGCGGCGACGGGTGATAGAAGTAGGTCGTATCGGGCCAAAGGCCGCTGATCAGCACGTGGTTGTTGTAGGTCGTCGAAGTGGAATACGTGACCGAGATGTTGGACATCGCAACATTGTGCAGACGGTCCTTCGAAAGGCCCCAGTAGACAGAAGAGGAGGAAAGGATAAGGCCCGGAAGGGCCGTAATGTGTTGGCGGGTAGAAAGCATAGGATTCAATTGACCGTCATCTTCACCTTGGCTACTTCGCTTCTTGCCTTCCATTATTCATAAACCAAGTCACTGTCCTGGCCAGGTGCTTTGAGTGATCACCCTAAATGTTCGGGTACCTTCGTTATGGCGGTCCCCCAGAGCCAGAGGTTTGTAGCGTGCGTCGGCTCAAATCTCAATGCTCCCATGTTTACCGAACCCTTGGTGGTATCAAGCATGGCATCATACGAAGGTGTCGGGTTGTTGAAGTCTGACGGACCATAGGTAGAGGTATCTTTGCTATAATCAACATGGTTCTGTACGCACCTCTTGTGACAAGGGCAGTATTCTGGGCTTGGAACAGTAGTTCAATTCAGCTGATAAACTACTTTGGTCTCGAAGGCCTTGTTGGTCCTTCAACCTCTAGAGGAAGGCTGGGCTTCAAGGCCTTCTTATGCCAAAGGGAAACGGTACCTATCTAGTATGTACGGGTCCTTGTCACCTGAGCCTCCAAGGCATCTAGCGATCTGCATACATGTAGGTCTTTCTCGTATGACACCAGGAGTGTGGCATATGCCCGTTTGACAGTGTGGCATATGCCCGTATGCTACCAGGAATGTAGCGTATACCCGTATGCCACCAGGAGTGTAGCATATGCCCGTATGCTACCAAGAGTGTGGCATATGTCCGTGTGACATATAACTAAGGAGGCAGAGGAGATTCTATCCGATTTTTTAAAAACCAGATGGAAGTAAGGGGAGCAGGATTCGACCTACAACTTTTTAGATAACACCAAAGGTAAACCAAGCTCAGATCTTCCCAACTAAGCTATCCTCCCCTATTGTTAATAGATTTTGAGTATTTAGGAATAGTAATAATATAGTAGATTATATTTACGAGTTGAAATTATAAATTTAAAGCGTTCAATAACATAATAGTTTGATTTATGCTATTAACTTTAGAATAAATTAAAATACATTGTACTAGTATAATTGAAATTTTGTAATATTAGTATAATTGTAAATTAATTTATTTATTAGAAAGTTAGCTAGTATCGAATACTAAAAGAGTTGTATCTTTTGATTTATTTAATATATTAAATTCAGCAGCTTTGCTATTTTCTAGCGCTAATATATTTATTATTCATAATTTAATAGATATCAGTTTATTCCATTCAGTTAAATTGAACTTAATAGTAATAGCTAAGGTATGACAGGCTGGGATGCATATGCCCAGACGGCCCTACCTACAAAAGATAGGACGATGTTCTGCTTGCAAGGCAGAACTCGAAATGCACACTATATAGCCAATGTCAACCTGTGACATAAGGAGCTAGTCTTAGTATTGTTATGAAATATTTTAAAGAAAATGGCAGATAGTTCAAAAGTTTATTACAAATTATTCAAGGATATATTAAGAATAGTTTGAGAGTATACGTACGTAGTAACGAAGTATTGAGCGCAATTATTTAATGATTATTATAAATAGGATCTAAATTATAGAAAATATTTAAAAGATATAAATCTCAATGTATTTTTTTTCGTAAGAAATTTCGGATAAGTGGTTAATTATTTCTCTATAAAGAAGTTCAAATAAATAGCTTATTATTTTTTTATGGAAAAAGAAAATATAAGTTAATGAGCGTAGGTTAGATAAGAATTTATTTACAATGTGAAGCTTATCTTAGCGTATCCACTTAGGTAAGCAGGCTTATATAAGAGTGTCAGGTTATATGAGCACTCATTGCCATTTGAGGCTGACTCTTAGGTTGTCCAAGTATGCGATTGAAGGAACTTAAGCGTCAAGAAAAGAGGTTGTAGTAAAAAGAAGATTAAGGGTCATCCGAACGCCATCCTGTGGTCATTAGGGATTTCCCTCATGTTCAACGCCACTGAGACGAACTGTTGAAGAAGTTGTTAGGAACAGGAGAGGATATATAACGTTGTTTGATGAACAATCCCAATGCAGGCATCCAAATTGTCATGGCTTGGTGCCATGCCTTCTGATTGGCTGCATTACCTACATGCCTCATTTGTTGCATTTACCTGTCGGACCCACTTCCTATTTCATTTTTGTGTTTAGTCGTGCCAGCCAGACTCGCACTTCTCTTCTCTTTTACTCTCCATAGTTAATTATTTATTACATTTGTTAGGTTATTCGTGCGCACTGCCCTCGAGACCTACGTGCCGTGACACAAATCCTGTGGGAACTTTAGCATAAGAGATTGTTACGTGATAAAAGCATGTTTGTATATGATGTGGGAACGTTAAGGCCGTGACGTGAGGTTCCGTTTAAGTGCTAGCGAGGATCTTTTTAAACGTTAGCCCCGCCGTAGCCGCCATATTTATAGCACACTGCAAGTGCGTAGGCGCGACCCGGCCAACCGCACTTCCCCGGAGACCTGGACGATGGGATTTCTTTTCTTCTTCGTTTCCTGTTCACTCTAAACTCTCACTTTGGTGAGATATCAAGTCAACCTAAAAGCTTCAATCCAACTCCTTCAACCAACTTGATTTTCGATGACTCAGAGACTAACAGCATGAGGCTCTCGCTCGCTCGAACGGAAGACCGCGCGCGAGTGCAACATCACGGCCCAGCCCGTGTTCCCATTTCAAATTCAGCTGCCGCTTTGCCGTTGCTTTGTTTTTCCGCTGTTCACGGCGTCCCCCGCCTTGCATCCTCTCAAAAAGTCCCAGCTGAAGGACAATTATTATTCAGCTTCATCCATTAGCTCCCAGCAGCCATTCAAATCCCATCCCAGGCTACAGTTAAGCGATTAAATGATTACTTATCCAATCCGATGGCCGAGCGAACGATGTCCATCCCACTACACTATGTACTTGGCATGCATGTCTCGAGCTCTTCGACAACTCGACCACTGATGTCATAGCTCATCCTCCGTTTCCAAATCGGGCAGTTATGGCGAACTGGCGGGTGTTGAGCAGCACAACGTACACTCAATCTCACTTTTTTTGAGATTTGAAATGTCGCTGCCTGCTTTCAGCCTCCTTTTACTGCTGCTGCAGTGTTAGAAACCAAACTGCCCGAATCGCTACACTTCCCGAAGACCCGAGAGGACCCGAATCCCGACTGAGATGGGGATAGTGTCACCCTCACTGCGTTCAGACGGCGCGGGCTGGTGGTCGCGTGGTGAACGGAATGGAGCCGCGCTCATCGCAGGGAAGCATTATCGACCTTTCCCAATACCATCGTCGCCTACCTCGGACATAAGCGGCATCTACACATGCATATAATGATCTCGGGACTTGGGAACAGTCAGCAACTCCACCGTCTGGATATGGCCGTCCTCTATTGTGTAGGCCTATACACGTCGAGATCGTGATGCAGGCCGTGTCCCATCATCCCGGGATGCAGACCGCTATGTCAGATCCGCCCAGCATCCACTGTTGCTTTCTAAAAGGAGCAGTTACTGATGGTGTCGTTATAGATGTCGTCGTCCCTGGCGAATCCCACGGGTCCCTCAGCCCTATGACAGCCTCGTATTTCCGGTCCCGCGGTTCCAGCCTCAGGGACCGCAGCCGGCTTGGCTTGTTACGTCTGGGTTTGCCCCCGTACACCGACATATCTAGGTATCTGGGTATTTGGTCTCGTCTCTTGAAACGCTACTGCCTAACTATGTGGCTATTGTGGCGATCTGTGATATCTGGTGCTTACTGTCTGGACACTTCTAGATCAAAATACCTTTCCGCGGGGGATTCTAAGCCATGGATGTTTGGATGTCACGTCGGATAGTCCTTGCTCGGTCATCAGCAGGGTAAGTTAGTGATAGAGCTTCAGGGCGATTGAATCCTTGGTCTGTGAGTGGAGAAGAAGGGGAACATCATATATGGGTAGGTTGAGAACATCACTTCGGTTTCGTTGGAGAACAGAGGGGACATTTTGTGTAGGTCATGCTTCGAAGTCTTCATGGTGATAGCTGCTGCGCGTTGCAACGTTGACTCAAGACTATGACCACATCCATATGAACGACAACCGGCACGCCGATGTAAGGCTCACAATCAAGCCACAATCGGCATTGTGACTTGAAGGTACGTGAATGTTCGAGATTCAACAGGTCCAAGAAAGAAGCTTGAAAGAAGACTCCACGGGACATCAGTCTACAGTAACCAGTAACCGGATATCACATCATATTCAACCGCCACCTCAGTGATTACTGACATAAGAAAAAGCTGTTATATCGGTAGATAGTAATGGAATAGGCCCAATTCATCTCGATGAGAAACCAACACCAAATGCTCACCCAATGTCGTGAAATTGTGATGCAATCTTCATAGGTCAAGTTATGTAAGGCTTGGGTAACTAGTTAACCCAGTAGGGGTACCACTAGCAGTCTCATTTCCAATAATTCGTGGCGTTCCAAGACAAGACAGACATTTGCACACAAATCATCACGACCAACAAAGTGTACCGTGTATACACTACCAGGTATTGCGTTCGTATACTACAATGACTAGTTGCTGACCGTGAATCCTGACGTTCTTTGTAAATAGTACACTACTACTATGTGGAAAAAGGGATGCGCTAAAACCAAGTGGTAATGTCAATGTCGTGCCAGCTCGTGTGTTGCGCTGACTAAACTCTCATTTTCTCGTTAGTCCCCTGTTCTCCGGCCTTCGTCCGTTAACGCACACTCCCAACCACACACCCGACACCATCGTCGCTTAACCCCGAAGCATGGCATGTACGTTGCAGGAAGTATCTTTTGGGAAGAACCTTTTTTGTCATTCTGCGATTTTGCATCCGTTGCCAAAAGAAACAAGCATAATATCTTGATGCCTGAAAAAGGGCTGAGCTAGTGTATGTACTTGATGATGACGATACAAATCACGAATGGATGGATTCCAAATTCGGCTCGACCGGGTTCTTTTTCTTCTTGAGGCTCTTGGGGATAATACGTGATCGATCTGCTGTTTTGTTTAAAGTAGAAAGGAAAGTTCGCAACTTCCATCCCGAGTCCCGAGATACAGAGAGACTGCAGTTCAAGTTTTTTTTGTGTCTGTGTTTGTTCAGATCAACAGGCATTTCAGATTTCGGGCCATCCCACCGAGAGAGAGTCATCTTTTCGTTTCAGTAACACCCTTACCCTTGCCAAGACCCTTGCCAAGCCCATACGCCAAGCCGGGAAGAGGCTGTACAGAAGCTGTACGGAAGCCGTCACAACTGAACGAAACATGTCCGAACCTCAGCGCAGCAGCCTGGATCCTGCACAGGCCACACAGCAACCCCTGAAACGTACATTTCACGGTATGTAAACATCACCTACCCCCTAACCATCCGTTCAGCATGCCATATTCTAACCATCAATAACACTCGGAACAGGGTGCTTGACATGTCGAAAGAGAAAGGTCCGGTGTAAGGGAGGCGATCCATGCCAGAACTGCGCTCGCATGAACATCACCTGCCACAGCTCCTTTGACACCAACCTTCGCATCCGGGTATCAACACCGACAGGCGCAAAAGATGTAGAGACCACATCCAGCTCCAGCCGGTCTTCAAGGCCAACGCCTTCAAATCAACAAGAGTCCCAGTACCAACACCAGTACCAACACCAACACCAACAGCAGCAACAGCCCATGGCGGCATTCATGACCTTTGACGGACATAGCCAGTCCTTCGTCCCCGAAGACCCGAACCACTACGCCGGGTATCCCACCTCAACCGTCTTCGGTGGTGGTTCGTCCACTTCATATGCTCAAGTCCCAGCAGTGACCTACGCAAACTCCAACATGGCTGCGGCCAGCTCGAGTACCACTGGAAATCCAGACATGACCCAGTTCCAGTATCAACAGCAGTATCCAGATGCTGCCGCCTGGGAATATGACTACCCTTATGATCCGAACGACCCTGACAACCTTGGCTATGCCTATGATGCCTCGCTGGATATGAGCAGCATGCAAGCTCCCCTACCTGACGACTCGCAGCATGGCGGCCACCAGGACGCTAGTGGGTGGTATGGATATCCGGCACAGGGAGGAGGGTCGGGCCAGCAGCAGAATTGGCGGTAATGAGGGCGCTCTTCTGAAATGGACTGATCGTCTAGTGATTTCCGCACCTGATGGTATAACATGGGGGATACAATCTTTATTGCTTGCTGGTGCACTTGCATGAGCTAGGGGCATAGGACTGCCCCTGGTCGAGAATAGTCGATGGAGGACATAATATGGCAAAACTAGAAGGATACGCAAAAGAGAAACAGGGGAATCGAGTGATACATAGTGATACTAAAACGATTAGATGAGAGATGCATGATAAAATTGTACATGAGATTGAAGGGGAGAATCAGACGAAAACAATGTGGAGTACACGAAGGGATGAAAGATTCAGGGACTTGATTGTATTGTTAATGGGTAATGATAGGAGGTAAATACCGAACTCATGCACTGCATCCTTGTGCGCTTGACAATGTGATCTTTTGGCCGGACACTTGACGTTCTTGAATAGTGTAATATCGAGTCGTTGAAGGATGAAACTTGACTGATTCGAGCCGGGTGTCGTGGCGAGAACATGGGCCGTTTCGGCCTCAGTTGTACTGATGAACAGGATGTCGTTGCGATGCGTCTCTTCGTGCAAGGATAACTGGAAGGGCGGAATGGCTTCTTGTCGTCGGTGTTGGTGGACTTAAGAGTCACGTCGATTTCTTTGGGATCCAGAGTTATTTAACGCTGCCTCGGTGTGACAGACCGGATGAAATGAGGTTCATGTTGATGTTGGTGCTTGGTAGATGTGGTTGTAACAATGCACAGTGAGTCGCTCGGCGTTTGAGTCACTCTAGCATATCGCTATATCGGGAATATGCTGCATGATCGCTCTGGCCGTGCACTTTGGACCCCTGGCGTACCTGATACCGAACATCCACACCCCACTTTCCCCTCCAAGACCTGCCCTGCGCCTGGGCTGGGCCCGCCGAAATAATTCTGCCCCGCCGATTTGGTGTTCCTCTCCAGGTCCCGTCAAGGTTCGCGACACGACACCATCGTCACTTCTGTCTCCAGCCCTATATACTTGCCAATCCCAGGACGAGCCTTGAATAGCTTCGTAGCCCCCAAGGATCCCGTAAACATGCTCGACGTCAACGATTTCAGTATGGCACCCTCAGCGCATATGTCTCTCCACATTCTCCTGCGCCAATTCGCATGTGTCCATCAGGCGCATTCCCGTCTCCAAAGCACATGTCGCCCGCCCCAACATGCTAACCTGTTATTGTGCTCTGAATAGTTGCCGAGCGCGGCGGCAACCCCGAGAAGATCCGGGAAAGCCAGCGCAAGCGTTTCGCTCCTGTCGAGGCCGTCGACGAGGTCATTGCTCTCTGGGAGGATCACCGCAAGAGTATGTGTTGCCTGTCCTGCGCCCTCGATGCCCTTTATTGCTGCCCTGCAAACAAACAAAAAAAGGAACTCCATCTGATCTGATCTCTCTTCGTGTGTAATAGCCGCCTACTCTGCCACCCAGCTCAATGCCAAGATCAACGAGGTCCAGAAGCAGATTGGCCCCAAGAAGAAGGCATATACCACCCATATCCGCGACAATTGTTCCACGACCGGCTGCTCTAACACTACTGCGCTCGTACTAGGCCAAGGAGGACGTCACCGATCTCTTGAAGCAGAAGGCCGACCTCGAGAAGGAGAAGAAGGATCTTCTCGACTCTGCCGCTGAGAAGGAGAAGCTCCTCAAGGCATGTCCTCCGGATCTCGACCTATAAGCATTGGTTCAGCGGCTAACACCCTCGAAGGTCAAGGTCAAGACCATCGGCAACCTCGTTCACGACTCCGTCCCCGTCTCCAACAACGAGGTTAATATTACCCAGCAACACAATGTCTATTTCTCGAACAATTGCCTGACAAGGATATAGGATAACAACACTGTCGAGCGCAGCTGGGCTCCCGAGGGTGTCAGCTTCGAGAAGAAGGATGTCCTCTCCCGTTAGTTCGCCCCTACAAACACCCGGGCATACAAAACAAGCGAGACTGACAACGGCTGGATATTGTAGACCACGAGGTTCTCAGGAAGCTGGATGGCTATGACCCCGAGCGTGGTGTCAAGGTTGTCGGCCACCGCGGCTACTTCCTGAAGAAGTGGGGTGTTTTCCTCAACCAGGCCATCATCAACTACGGCCTCGAGTTCCTCTCCGAGAGGGAGTACACTCCCCTCCAGACTCCCCAGCTCATGCTCAGGGAACAGATGGCCAAGACTGCCCAGCTTTCCCAGTTCGACGAGGAGCTCTATAAGGTTACCGGTGACCAGGCCGACAAGTACCTGATTGCTGTGAGTGGCTCCGGCACCCTTCGTGACTGGTATGACAACAGAGATACTGATGCTATTGTGTGTGTGTAATAGACCTCCGAGCAGCCCATCTCCGCCTTCCACAGCGACGAGTGGCTCCAGGCCAAGGACCTCCCCCTGAAGTACGCCGGTTATTCCACTTGCTTCCGCAAGGAGGCCGGTGCCCACGGCAAGGATGTCTGGGGCATCTTCCGCGTCCACGAGTTCACCAAGGTCGAGCAGTTCTGCGTCACCGAGCCCGAGAAGTCGTGGGAGATGTTCGACCACATGATCTCCAACTCGGAGGCCTTCTACCAGTCGCTCGGCATCCCGTACCGCGTCGTCGCCATCGTCTCGGGCGCCCTCAACAACGCGGCCGCCAAGAAGCTCGATCTCGAGGCTTGGTTCCCCCACCAGGGCGAGTTCAAGGAGCTCGTCTCGTGCTCCAACTGCACCGACTACCAGTCCCGCGACCTCGAGATCCGCTTTGGCGTCAAGAAGCAGACCGACATCAAGAAGACCTACGTCCACTGCCTCAACTCCACCCTGACCGCCACCACCCGCACCATCTGCGCTATCCTCGAGAACTTCCAGACCCCCGAGGGTGTCAAGGTTCCCGAGCCTCTGCGCAAGTACCTCCCCGGTGCTCCCGAGTTCATCCCTTTCGCTCCCGAGCCCGTCAAGGAGGTTAAGGAGGGCAAGGGCGGCAAGAAGGGCGAGGCTGCTCCCAAGAAGGAGGAGGCTCTTCCTATTCGCCAATAAAAAGATGGATGTCTTGTAGTTAGGTTAGCTGAGGTTGTTTGTGTGGTCCTGGTTGAATGATTTGATACCATCTCAGTTCAGCTGTCGTGCCATAATACAATGTGAAGGTACTGATATGGATGCTGACGAGGGCGTGGATAGTACATATATGGTAGCGTATATCGGTAGAGGACGGGAGTGAACGGTGCTAAAAGTATGTTGTCCGGAATCTCCAGTAGGCAAGTTAGTGTAGTGATTCACTTCAGCAAGCAAAATTCGATAGACGGGTCCAGGAATTTGGGAAGCAATTGAACAGTTTCTTGCATATCGCGATATATGTACGCCAGTTCTCGATAACAATCAACGAGGGCAGATACATACAAACGTTGGCCTAAGTACAGAGAACATGCGACTGTACTATGAACAAACATAGCTCGCAGACATGCCATACAACATCAACTGTGCCCTCCAGAGAAGCATCGTTCCGACATGAGAACCAATGGCCCGTCGTTCGCTGGCCATCCCTGATCCCATATAGACAAAGGTCAACAACTGCCCCTTAAAACCCATCAAAACCTCACTAAGGAGAATGATACCCGCCGCCTCTCCCGATTCAAACCCCCATCCAATCATTTCCCAAATCACATTGGTGACAGACAGCCTTTGCCACCAGATTGATGTGAACACATGAAACAAAGGTATAGTGCCGAAATCCCCCCCTCTCTATATCCACAAAGTTGAGCTGACCGAGGCTCGTTTAAATCAAACACCGAGGGGTAAATCAACGTAGGAAAAAAAACAGGAAAACCAAAACTTTGATAGCAAGAAAAAAGGAGACAAAGCACTTGACTTCTCTACTGTGCGCCAGTGCTTCCCGTGAAAAACAGAACCATGTGTCGTGAGAATTGCGTGCAACAGCGATGGAGTGGGCGGCCAAGCTCCACATGCGGTAGGACTGGTTGTGCTTCGGATCCCTCAAGCTCTCGTGTAATGAGAAGATCTTGCTCTCCTTTTCGAGATGTGCCAAACCATTTCCCCTTTGTCTTGAGAGAAAGATAGCACCCAAGGACTGTTCGACGTCTCAAGAGACGTCTGTCCGTACCATGCTGTATGGGGTTGCCACACCACCATGTGCCGTCGTGAACCGTAAGAAGCAACATGTGCTGCAAATAATGACCGTTGGTAACGGTTGAGATGTGCCTAATGTGTCGTCTTTATGTGTGCGTGAAAACCCCCGATATGTGCCTCGTGGAGCTCATGAAAAGGTCCGACAACTGAGCGCGCCACTGCTCGTGAGAGATGTGGTCATCCCTCTAGTGACCGCGAAGACAAGGTCTGGTTGCCTTTGTCTTACATTACCACACACTTTCCGTTCTCGTTGGTCGCCGTGGGGTATTTGACTTCTCGACCTCGCCGATGAGAAGCTCAAATGCTCTGGCGACGTTCTCGTTATAGCGAGCACTAGCCTCAGTCCAGGCGCATTTGTACTTATCGGCAAGGGCCTTGCCATCCTCAGGGGTGACCTGGCGTTGTTCGGGGCGCAGATCACTCTTGTTGCCAACGATACAGATGGGGACGTTATCAGTTCCCTGTTTTAAGTCAGTAAAAGATCACAGAATTTTGTCAGACAATGTCCGGATGGACAAGGCGCTACTTACCAAGTGGTTGAGAATCTTATCTCTGATAACCTGGACCATCTCGAAAGATGCAAGGGAAGAGACAGAGTAGACCAGCATGTAGCCGTGGATGCCGATGAAATGTTTGCTATTCAAAATCGAATATTCATCCTGTTCAAGTGGACCATGTCAGTAAAATGCGTCACCAATGGAAACCCCCATTATTTGGGCAAGGTGAGAAACGACTGAGGAAAAAGAAAACGTACCTGGCCAGCTGTGTCGACGATCTCGGTTGAGTAATCCTGATTCTTCCACCTGATTTCCTTCGAGAAGGTGTTCTCGATGGTGGGGTAGTAGGATTCGACAAAGTGTCCATCCACAAAGCGAACAGCGAGTGAAGATTTGCCTGTGACCTCGGTTAGCGTCTGTTGTTCATCTTTCACTTCCATATCACTTTGAGATGAAGTTGCAAGCAGCACATCTGCTCTGCGACTTTCACGCCACCGACATGTATGCTTGGTGTACGAGGGTGACGGCAGTGTGACAGCCACGCGGGTTGTATATTGAGATGAGGGAAAGGGTGAAAAAACATAAGAGGTGAACTTACCAACGGAGCGACTACCTACGATGGCGATCTTCCGCTGCTTTGTGGCGGGGGACGGCATTGTGAATGGACGTCAACTGACGTGGGATGCGAGGAGCTTGGGATTTCGAACTCGTGAATATGCGGATACGACTGATTCCAGAGTCGTTACGCGTGGTTGTTGAAGCTGGGAGAGAAAATCTGTGCGTGAGATGGAGTGGTGAGGTGAAAAAGGTGAGTGAGGGTTGGTGAAAGTTGTGAAGGTTGAAGGTTGAATGTGGGATGTGGTCCAAGTTCAGAAGAAAAACAATTTGTTGTTTTGAATGGCCCTGGCAGGCGGGCGACAGCGGAGTGGTACCGGCTCGTAACAATTGAGAAAGCTTGTGAGCCAGACAAGGAAAGAGCGCCCTGCCACTGCCACCTACAAGTTTGGCGGCCAGAGTCTAGGCAGTTTGCGGTAGTAGTGTAGTGTAATTCTAGGCGAGGGCAGGTACGTACTGTTTCCCGCTTGAAACTGGTATGGAAATCGGACCGGAGTTCTGGGACTTGAGGAAAAGAACGGTCCGGCAAGCCCGCTACGTAAAAAGACTGAATAAGGTGCCCCTGTTTGCACGCCTAGAACTAGGCAAGTCCGAACAAATATTCAAGTCCGTATAAGATGAAATTGGATTTTGATCTTGCATCGATAATATGTCTACGGTGATAGTATGACTGATCCCCTTCAGCATTATCATGAAAGCCGTGACCGAATCCAGAAACGAGATCTCTGCCGCCGATTTCCCAAGGGTTCACCTCCGACTGGAAATACGTTGTCAGGGTTGTACAAGTCATTGGTGCATGGTCCCACTCGTTGACGACCACGCGAGACGAGTGTCAAGAGTCGTTCCTTCCCTTCTGTCTCAACTCGACTCGTCTTGTCGTTGCGCCCATGAGCGCTCCATCAATTACACTGCAAGTGCTGACACTCGATCTGATAACTCACTGACAGGCAGGTTTATGGTAACCACGGTCGCTGCCACCGTCTCTGCCGGCCCTGTCTCGCGTGCCATGTCTCAGACGGACTCTCACAGCGGCGGCAGCGGCCAGAGACAAAGAGACAAGAGGCAGCCGAGCCTGTATTGGACGGAACTTGGTGGGGTACGCGGGGATTCTTGTGAGGTAATATAGTGGAGCCTTCCTTCTCACCCCACTGCTTCCGTTGCACCTGCCGCACCTTGCGGCTCAGCAGAAAGTCGCTAAAGTTCGCCTTCAAGGTCCCCACATTTTCCTACTGCTAAGCCTCTAAAACACCAGGCCTGGACCCTGAAATTCGGTCATGAACCACGAACTGCGGCATGAAGGGACCAGTTGTTTCCATGCCTTTTGGGGAAATGAGAGTTGAAGGTGGCATGTGACGCGTTTACAGCTGGTATGGTGTTGAATCAACGTACTGTAGGTTATACGTACGCTTGGGGTATCGCTTTAACAAGCTGAAGTGGAAAGTTTTCACAGCAACATGACGGGATCGACTGCGGATAGATTCATAGAGAAGCAGGCAGACTAGCTCACTATCTGTGTACTACCATATCTCTGGACCCTGATTTCCATGACGACTCCGAAGCTCCGGAGTCATCTACGACCATCCGAGCCTCTTTTTGACCGGAAGTTGTGTCACAACGGACCACAGCGAGCGGACCGAACTTTGCATCATGCTAACAGAGACTATCCCGTCTTTTGCGTCTATACCTAGGGCGTCCAGTCCGGACAATGTAATGCCCATAAAGAAAGACATTGTTACAAGATAATGTTTACAAAAACTCTACCATCACCTATGGTGAATGTTTGCCAAAGGCCCAACTGTGTGTTCAGATTAGGTGGTCAGTTTCTTTTGGAAACCGTCCGAATGTATCCCAAACCAAACCAAGTGAATCCATTCCTTGCGCTGAAGTTGGTGATGACCAAAGTTTTCCGCCATCCTGAAGAATCCTGAATGTTCTTCTCCACATTACGCACCATCCCAACCAACTTCTCCAGCCAGTTGAAGCCAGTACGAAGCCAGTATGTCAGCTTTCTTCCCGCACGTAAATCGTAACTCTATTTCCAGTAAGTACCCAGACCCTTCCTCCGTACCAGAACAAACCCCATGTGTATCGTAGCAAACCCGCAGCCCATAACCCCAAAACCGTGGACCAACCAGTTGAAATTCCCCGGAAAAAAAGCAATAAAAGCAACGCCATGTCTCACTCATAGAAGCCAGAATGTTTGTCCAGCCCTTCGAGTGATTAATCATCGATAGTGTTTCAGACGCTAGACTCTGACTTGAGGATGCTGACCAGTCTCTGGAGACGCGCCATAGCAGAAGACTCGTCACCCTCCTTCGTTTCCCCAGATCCACCCTGGGCTTCCTCGACTCTCTGATGGTAGATAATGAACTCGTTGAGGGAGTCCACCAACGGCTGGATGCTCTTCTTAGGGTGAACGGAGATGAACCTCTCCTTGATAGGCTCGCGCAGGCAAAGGTATCCCAGCAAGATGGCAAGGTAGCCGAGGGCAACATTGAGCTGAGCTTTCTCCTTGGAATCCGCCTGTGATATCTCTTGTGTTAGTATTGGTCTTAGTGCCTTGCATGCTGTGGAAAGACAACTTACATCGGAGGTCTTGGAGTGGTAATCAGCATAGAGCTGGATCAGTTTTTCTAGCTGTGGCCCCGGCGAACCCGCTCGCGTGTCAAGAGACTTCCCAGCCGGCGGGTAATAGACGCAAAAGTTAATCATTACACCGAGCATCATAATCAGAGACTCGTAGACTTTGGACAGGAAGGCATCAGCCTTCATGGAATTCAAGACAACGTCAAAGGCAACACATGCCGATTGCGCCAGGTTCTGGAGGAGCCCCTTGTTGACAAGCGTTCCCGAGGCATCATGGTTGTGATTAGTCATGTTAAGCGTAATCCTGAGGGCGAGGCTCTCGAGATCGTTGAACTTGTCCGCAGGCCGGGCCAAGGTTGTTTCCAGAACATCGGCCACAATCGGCACGTATTGAGTCGTCCATTTGGGGCTGAGGTGAGACTGCATAGCGTAGATGGAATGACCTTCGAGGACATACAAGGCGAGGAAGAAGTCGATGGCTGCTTGCTCTTTCGGGAAATCCCAGCACGCCTGGTCGGACGCACCAGCGGCCAAAATTGCGAAGAGCTGATCGGTGACTTCCGAGGAGAAGACTTGAAATTCATCTGACATCTGAGTCGACTGCCGCATGATCAAGTCTAGGCACTTGAGCGCGAGCGTTCTGGGGGATACAAGCTCAGGCAAGGCGGTTTCCCATATTGGAAGCTTCAGCAGAGAGGCCTTGATCGTCCCTAGTGTTGTTTGGCCGTTTCTCGACACATTCTGCTTCCTCTCTTTCGCCAACAGAACAATATCTCTTGGCTCCCCCAGAAGTCGCTCAATCAGAGCTGCGAAGCCTTGGGCCTTGAGCTGCTGGAGTAACAGCGTTGAAGCCGACGTTGCCAACATGTTCGCGACAACCGCAGCGATTGCAAAACCACCAATGAGGTCCGTCTCCTTATCGAGTGACTTGAACACATCATCAGCGCCGCCATGATTGCGAAGCTGTGACCGAAACGACTTTTCATTCGTTTTCTGAGCAAGTTCGAACAAAGCGCCTCTTCGTAATGACGAAGGCTTCTCCAACGGTGAGCCCACTCTGTCCAAGATATCCTCGATTTCGTCCGCAAAGCGGCTGTTGGCACCGGCTTGTCGCAGCTCGTGAATACTACGAACGGCTCCTGTGTTGACTGTCTCGTCTTCTTCGTCCTCGAATGAGAAGACGTCGAGAGCAGCACTTTTGGTCATGCGACCAATGTTGAATAGTGCACCACCAGAAAAGCTCTCATCTGTCCCCATACTACCTAATCCACCCCCATCGAAAAACGGGTCCCTTTCGGCCAACATTGACCTTTGCTGCGTGTACGTGAACTTGGGACCTGATTTCTTGGTCGCAAGTATTGGTCGAGCAAGTCTCTTTGACGGGGTCATGGCTGAAGGATTAGGCGAGCTTGGATCTTGGAACTTGGGGGACTGTTTGCCTCGGGGGCTCTCTTGCAGCGAAGAATTGTCGTCTTCATCGGAGGAACTGTCTTCTCCTTTTTGGGCTACCAAAGCATCGATCAAGCGCTTCCGCCGTTGCGGCGCAACAGTAACAGAGTCCTCTGTTTTTCGCGAGGGAGAAGGATTCCTTTGCACGGGCAATGGTTGTGGTTTTGGCTTAGTAGACGAAAGGCGTAGCGGAATTTGATGCTTTGTTGCCGTACTTGTGAGGAGGGACTGGGAAGAGGAAGCATCCGCCATCTTGACATCTTTTATGGGCGTGTTAACGGCCTTTTGCTGCACCCTCGCCACCGGTAGTGGTTTTGCTATCTGTTCCTTCGAAACATTGACGGGCGTTTCGGTGCTGGACGGCGATGAGTCGGGGGTCGAGTATGGTCCTGCCAGTACGTCTGTTTGTTCCGAATATGTCCGAGTGATCTTTCTCTTCTTTGCCCTAGCATCGTCCTCGCCGGTTTCTACGCTACTTGGCAGTGGCTGGCTATGCGACTCGTCGTGGAGCCTTGGCTGGCTGGTTCGACCATATTTCTGTCTCGAACTAGCTGATAGCCTGCCTCTGTTGCTAGAACTGGCGGTACGAGATACAGTAGGTCGAGGTTCTGGCGAGCTTGGTGGTGATGGAGATGTAACGGTAGCAGTCACAGAGGCTTTTGTGATGATGTCTTCTTCGCTCTGGTTCGTCTTGACCGAAATCGAGGATGCACTCCTGTTCACGGAGAGTGAGGAAGTTGAAGCTCCGACTCGCCTTCTCGCAGCTTTTCCATATGTGGTGACGCGCTTCTTGGGGGGAAAGTCGTAATCGCTGAGGCTGGCCATTGTGCTGACTGTGGCCGACCACCAAGGGGACGAAGTTTCGATTAACGGGTAGCTTGGACAGCGATGGAGATGTGAATCGGTTGCGGGGACGCCGAGATAGTATTAGAGCAACATGCGGGGAAACTGTGGAAAGTTTGGCGGCTGAAGGTCGAGATGTCGGTCAATGGCAGTTCCGGCCAAGTAAACGTGTTGTGGGTGGAAGTCCGATGCGCGCAGCTCGTCTAAGGCGCGTGTCAATGCCGGTTCATGCGGTGGTTGTAGCGGCGAATGGGAGCTGGAGGCATGAGCTTATAAGGTAAGGTTCGAAACGGGGAGGTTGTTGTTGGTTGGAGCGAGGTAGGTACCTTAATGTTTGCGCGGTGTAGTTGACTTGCGACGATTGAGGTTGCGGTGTTGCGCTTCCGTCTCGCCTTGGTCGATCCAATGTTTTGGGAATGGAAGAAGTCGAAGTGGAAGCGGGTGTCATTGTGAGGAAACCCCACAATCTGCTCCCGGCACCTTTTCCACCACGGTGCCTGCCCTGTGGCCCTGTGTGTGTTCAGTGGTTCGCTGCGGTGCGCGTGCAGGGCGGCGGGACTGGGCGGCGGCAGGGGCAAAGGCAAAGAGAAGGTTAGCACGGTGACCCTGCAGATGCATGTGGTGGTCTGTGCTTGCCGTTCCCCTCGAGACGCACGCTTATGCCCACTCCTCTTTCTTAATCGAGTTTCCTAAAAAAGAGCCTTTGATGTTATCGTCCCGTCTCATTGTGTACGTACAACGACCTTTTATCTCCAATTGCAAAGCACGGATACCGGCACCGCAGGCATTGTTTGAGACAAAAATCGTGGGGTTGCCAAGGTCGATCAGTTAACTCGCAGTAGGTGAGTATTTCATCCCATCAGATCTCACCTTGATGGCTCTCGCTGGAAACAGCCTTCGGGGTCCGCCGCCCCCGTTGGAGCTCTTCGCGGGCGGTCTCACGGCGGGGTTCCAGATCGCGGGACCCAGTCCAAGAGCGGTTCCCAACGGTTTCCACTTGAACGACTCGGACAACCCTGAGCGGCGGGCAGGGATCGGTCCAGAAGGCTTTCGCAAATGCAGTATTTTTTTCTGATCTGAGAATCGCTCAAAGTCTCAAAGTTCCCCTTTCTTGTCCCAGTTCCCGCATCCCGCCACGATCCTCTTCCGGTTAACGGAGAAGCCCAGACAAATAGTAAGTACACACGCTACCTTGGCAAGCCCGCCAATTGCTGTCCCTGATTGATACTCTGCGACGGCCGAAGTCCCACCGTTTATCAGCTCTGCAAGTGGGAGGGGTTTGGTGGGACCGTTGTTGATACAACACTTCACATCCTGCCTGTTTGGGCGCGGGTTTAGTAGAAACTATCTGTTCCTCGGCCCTTGGGGGTCGAAGGTTGCGCCTCCTCGTCCTACCACTTGGTCGCGTCCTCGACCCCAATCATGAACCCCTCTACTCAATCTGTTTGTCATCTGTATCTGCCACTGGCTACAGATAGGCAGTCTACCATTGCCTGAGGGTCCCTTTTAAGAAGCATCTGATTCCCATTCACAGACACTTGTGCTGAAGACTATCTTTCTTTACATCGACCACATCACTTACACGAAACCGATTCATAGGGTATCCGTTATCACGACTTTGGCACTTAGTCCATCCTCCTATAATCACATCCTCCCACCAAGTCAACATGTCTACCACCTCCGAGATCGCGCCCACCAAGTGCGTGGGCCCCGACTATCGCGCCGAGGAGCAGAAACCCTCCGCCACCGTCTCGACCGCCGTTGACCTTGCCAACGTTACCGTTCTCTCTCAAACTCCCCAGCTCATCGCTCTTCTCAGGTGCGTACACCTCACTTGAGTTACCTCTACCCGACCACCTTCCTCCGCAGCCAGACACTGATCTCCGATGGTTACACTACAACAGCATCATCCGTGACAAGGGTACCGACCGCGGCGACTTCATCTTCTACTCCAACAGAATCATCCGTCTCCTCGTCGAGGAGGGTCTCAACCACCTCCCCACGATCGAGCACCCCGTCACCACCCCCGTCGGCCGCGTATACGATGGTTTGGCGTTCCAGGGCAAGATCTGCGGTGTCTCCATCATGCGCGCCGGCGAGGCCATGGAGCAGGGTCTGAGGGACTGCTGCCGCTCCGTCAGAATCGGCAAGATCCTTATCCAGAGAGACGAGGAGACTGCCCAGCCCAAGCTCTTCTACGACAAGCTTCCCGAGGACATTGCCGACCGCTGGGTCCTTCTCCTCGACCCCATGTTCGCCACTGGTAAGTCTAGGATATTTTGGAAGGGGGTAGAACCAGGTGCATCGCAGTTTCCACGGGCTAACATCTGTCGTGCGTTAGGCGGATCTGCCATTATGGCTGTCGAGGTGTTGAAGTCTAGGGGAGTTCCCGAGGAGCGCATCATCTTCCTCAATATTCTGGCTAGCCCCGAGGGCATCAGCAACTTTGCTTCCAAGTTCCCCAAGCTCCGGACAGTAACTGCCTTTATCGACCAAGGTCTCGATGACAAGAAGTACGTTTTCCTGCTCGCCTCCTCTTGTTCGCGCCGAGAAGAAGATGAAATTTGAGGACTGACTGACTGACTCTAATTTGCTATAGTTACATTATCCCCGGTCTCGGTGACTTCGGCGATCGCTATTACTCCATGTAAAGGTTTTGAAAGGGCGGCGTACGTAAGAGATATCGTTGGTTGTGTGATGAAAGTTCCTGGTAGTGTGAAGATCGACTTTGGGAAATGGCGGCGTTTATCTGAGAGGACTTTGGATGCCAAGCGTAGTATTATGGAATACCCACTCTGGAAAAGTAAGAAAAATGAGTTTTTTTTCGTGTTTGCTTCAGTTCGTTCATCGAAAATTGGAACTGCAGTGGCATCGGATCCGGCTCGTTTCCGTTTCGCCTATCGTGATCGTGATGATGATGGATGATGATGATATGTAATGAACCTTTTATAAAACCTTTCGCTCAGTCAACCATGACCCCTGTGCCTGTGAGATATTTGGAGAAAAATAAAGAGAAAAAAGCCAGCCCGGGCTATGTATGGACGTAACGCAACGTCGAGTCGTTGATGTGTTTTAGTCGTACTCATCGTCATCAACATCGACACCGGATCCCGCGCCATAGCCTCTATCGTCATCCTCGTCATCTTCGTCGATATCGGCAGCTCTTCGGCTTGATGCCACTGGCCGTCCGCCCGTCGACTCCCTCCGGGCATAGGATGCCGCTTTTGCGCTTGCCTCGGCTTCTTGGGCAACGGCGTCTGTTCATGATAAGTCAGTTAAACAGTCCCTCAACTTGACAAGGGTAAGACTATGTATGTATGTGGTTGCTTACCTGCAGCATCTACCCAAGCACTATAGACATCTACCGCAGCATCGAGGTCTAGATTCCATCCATGTCAGCACTTCCCTCCTTCTTAATGATCCTATATTGTGTCCGAGCATCGGTCGAGTCAAGTCCAATCTTACAGTTGACAGGGCACTGGAACTTTTGGCCGCAGATCTTGCAGTCGAGGTAGCCGACGCCGGCCTTCTTGTCGAGCTTGACGATGACGGATCGTTCGTGGTTGCAGAAGAGGCATGTGAAGACGGTGGGAGGGGATCGTTCTAGTTAAAGATTTTGAACAGGTTAGCGGTAGGTCAAGGAAGAAGTTTGATTAGACATAGGTAGACGGGAGGGAGGTATCATATGCTCGAAGGGTACAATGTGGATCGAAGTACACAGTAGTATTGAGTGCTGTGTATGGTATCGGATGTGATGATTGTCCTTGGGGGGTGCAGTGCAGTATTGCCTATAAAAAAAAGCTTATCGGGCAATGACGTCTTTGGTGGTAGTATCCAGAGGCGGTGCGCGCGCAACGGACAAAGTGTACGCGATCGCTTCTTTGTGACTAGAAAAGGTATGTACATACCCTCCTGGGCCCTTGCGGCTTTCTTGACGACTTTTTGCGCTTGCCCATTGCGAAGTTGTTGTGGTGGTGATTGTTTGGGTGTTGGTGGTTTGGTTCAAGAGTTTGAAATGACACCTGGGGCGTGTTAAAGTTCGGTTGCGGTCACTACCTTACTGTAGGTGCAGGTGCAGGGTGCGCGGCCGGCAGTGCTGGGGATATCGATGAGTGAGTGATTCGCGTCGCAGAACCCTGGGTGCTTCTGGCGCAACGCGCTTCGGATTCGGGATTGAAGAAGAAAAGGATGGTGAATGGAAAGGGGGGAGAACACGTTGGTCGTTGCGATAGAATGGAGACGTTTGTGCAACTTTATTCAGCACGTGCGCGATGGGTGACTCCTTGCAGGCAAAGTGATTGTGATTGTTTGGATGTTGATACTTTTGCGACTTTGCGCCTTCATGAAGCGCCCGTCACTGACAAGTATGGTTTCAGGTACAATCAAGGTCGGTGATGGCTGCCCCGCCACAACTCTCACCGTTCTCACCAAGGTGAGTTCATCAGACACCGGAATGAGTTTCCCAGATCTATAGTGTTACAAGGCTGTTCACTTATGAATTAAGCTGGGCTCGTGCACTTACTGACTGGACAGGGCTGAAAGTCTTCAGGTCTTGGCCTGGTGTCCACCAGTTCATTCCCCACCTTGCCCCACAAAAGACCTCCCCCGGTTTTGGGATGATCGACTTTCAAGCGGGAACTGGTGATTGGACGATGTTGGCATCTGACATTCATTCCCGAACACCTTCCATCCAGAGACAGTTCCTGCCTGTTGAGATACTAATCAGGATGTGCTGTGCGATAAGACAACCACCCCGCTATCGTCCCGGTCCTTGTTAATGTCCGAGATAGGTCGTCAGCAGGGTTATCGAATTTGTTACTCGATTTCTCGAGCAACTTCCAACCGGCTTCCAATGATGATGATGGAAGATGCTCTCGGTGCCGGCACCATCCATTTCGGTGTTGGGGGTTCCAGTTCCTCACCGAATGGTAACCGTATCACTTGCATCACAGTGTCAACAACAACAACAATCATGTACCCTCCCGTGTTGTTTCTGTTGTGATGAATCTCTACCTATACGGGATCGTCTCACCTTCAACGTGTTCTTCTGTTCGGTTCCTGCTTACACAATCACTAACAAAGGGACCACCACCTACCGCTTCCACTCGGAGTCTTGGACTGGCGGGAACAATGGAATGAGACAGGGACGCGCTCGTCTCCGAGATCCGCAGCCACGGCACTCGATCCGATTGCGGTACCCCGCCGCCGGCGTCCGTTGTGAGGAGCATGCTTTAACCCAAAGTTGCAGCATGCTACTCCAGCCTACAGGGATCGAGGAGCGCTACGGGGATGCCACACACACCCTGTTATCGATCAGCTGGCTATCGTGTTGGTTACCGTTGGTCAGTAACACGCTCCGCGTCCGTTGATTGCCCGAGACGCAATTCATACCGACTCTTGTTACGTGTTGCAAACCATCGAGTGGTCGATATGCCTGTCGGATCCCTCTTATCACGAGGGGGCTTAGGTACGGTATGTGAGATGAGGGGGATTCTCCTCAAGGTATGTACGGGCTGGAAGAGGAGGTGTTGGATACCGTAGTAGGTATGTTACGTGTCGCCCGACTGTCTCTCTCTCAAGGTTGCTCCAGATTCCTCCATCGTCTTCAATGTGTTAAGTTCCTCTGTTGACTTTGTCTGTTATTCACTTTACCTCTGTCCCGTCTCTTTGTCTCTGATAGACCACTAGATTGCACCTTTTACCATCATCATCTTTACCTAGACTTCCACTTGGTCGTTCCTTCCCCATCATACCTCAACAAACAGACCTACAGTTACAATGGCTACAGGTCTAGAAGGCGTGCAAGATGCCCTGCTGGCCATCGCCCAAGGCCAAACAAAGCTCATCTCGGCGGTGGAATCCATATCCCAACGTGTGAGCAGCTTGGAGAACGACAAGACTCGCGATACCTCCTCGAAAACCAACGGCGAAGCTCCAAGCCCAATCACCACTCCGCTCGTTTCCGGCTATGTCCAGACACCGCCGCTGTTGCAGGCTGATGCTGGCACCATGTCACCATCATCTCCGCCCGTCGACATCACAAAGTCCAACTTCTCGAACCGTGTTGTGCTCACCACCTATCCCAAGCAAATCGGTATCAACCCGTTACCGATGGAATGGGGCGCGGCCGATCCCGTCAAGCGTGGCCCGGTAGCTGTCATCCGATCTGGCTCGACCATCCGCAGACGTAACGCCATCGGAGCTCACGGTGGCTCGTACTCGGTTTACTATGCACTGGCTCTGGCGGCCAAGGAGCTGGATCCAGATCACAAGCCTGATTTCACCAACACCGAGCCCGCCGTCAACATTGGCCCTTTCCCCCAATGGGGAGACCCCAAGAAGATTGTAGCCATGGACCCTTGGGGCCATCAGGTCCCTTGGATCTTTAAGGATCTTATGGACAAGGAGGTGGTACGTACTTGCACCTTTTTATTGTTTACTACCCCTATTTGCATGTGGCCCATGCTAACAATGGATTTGGACAGTTGATCTCCGGCCGACGATTGCTATCACGAAAGCCCATATGAAGCTACCCGAGCTTGAAGAGAGTGTCAAGGCCGGTAGATTGGTTCCGGATGGCAAGATTTGCTTGAACAGCAGTGGTGAACTTGCAGTAACCAAGTTCGCCGTCGAGCCTGTTTGGTACCTCCCCGGAGTTGCCGAACGGTTCGGTATTGATGAGGGTACCTTGCGCAGATCCCTCTTCGAGCATACTGGCGGCATGTATCCGGAGGTAATTATCGCCGCTGAACCACAAGCACTTTACGTTTGGCAGACATCTGATGCTAACGTAATTGCCAGTTGATTACCCGCTCTGATATCAAGGTCTTCCTGCCCCCTATTGGTAAGAATCATCAGCTGTGTATCCCGCCAGGGTGTGATGTTTCAGGCTCCTAACTGTCTCTCTCTAGGCGGTTTGACCGTGTACTGCTTCGGCGATCCTGCGAACATGTCAGACCCTTCGAAGAAACTTGCCTTGAGGATACACGACGAGGTAGGCTCTCATATCCATATGATGTCATGTCTCTTTTTTGAGTGACTCTTCGTTGCTGACACAGCCACCTTCTCTCTCTGTAGTGTAACGGCAGCGATGTTTTCTGTTCCGATATTTGCACTTGCAGACCTTACCTGATCTTCGGTATCGAGGAGGCCGTAAAAGAGGCTCAGAAGGGCGGTAGCGGCGTGGTAATCTATTTCCGCAAAGAAGGTCGTGCCTTGGGCGAGGTCACAAAGGTATGCATTTTCCGAAACTCCGCTCCTGAAGACTAGATGCTGACCTATCCTCGCAGTACCGTATGTCGAATCTTCAGACAATGCTTACATTCTCCTGTGTGGAGGAATTCTTGAGTGAGAGACTAACAGGGAACCATCTGCAGTTGTGTACAACGCGAGAAAGCGCGGGGCAGATCTTGCATCGGACTATTTCAAGCGCACCGAAAACATTGCCGGTGTAAAGGACATGCGCTTCCAAGCCCTGATGCCCGATATCCTTCATTGGTTGGGTATCACCAAGATTGACCGAATGCTTAGCATGAGCAAGTGAGTAACCCCTCTTCCCCCCAGCTCTCCTTGCCTTGTGACAGGTATCACCGATCCTGGATTTAACGCATGGTTGTTTTCTAGCATGAAACACGACGCCATCGTCGGCCAAGGGTAAGTTGACATTCCCTTTTCTATCATGTGGTGTGCCGTTATGCTCGAGTCTTGCTGCATAACCTGCTCTTGTGTTGAGCCGACGATCTTTTACTTGATGGGTGCTAACCTGCCGTATAGCATCCCTATTATCGAGCGTGTTGAGCTTCCCGAAAGCTGGATTCCAGCCGATTCGCGAGTAGAGATCGATGCCAAGATCAACGCCGGTATGTTTTTGTCCTACCTACTACCTCCTCCCGTGTTTCCTGGGAATGAAGGCAAGATGACTGACGAGGATCCGTGTCTGTAGGATACTTCACAACAGGTCACAGGATGACGGAAGAAGAGCTCAAAGCCGTGCAGGGCCGGATATGGGAAGAGTAAGTTATCCCTCTTTTGAGAAGTCATTCATCAACGAATCGAAAGAACCTTGGGGCTGACGTAACCACAGCATCGACCACTAGAAGTAACAACCCCACGGAGGGAATGGTACACGAAGGAGTTTGGCTGTGGGATGCTGAGAGATTTTATTCGGGCGGCAGCTGCATTTTTGGGGGGAAACCTATGGCCCCCATCCATCATTGTATTGCCTCTTTGTATGACCATACCTACCTAAGTAACCCATCCCGCTTTCTCGGTGAGGATGGCCGTCCAATTCAATCCTTCATATACTACGCCATAACCGCCACATGTCAGACTCGAACTCAGAGTGGGTAGCAGGTGGGATGTGGGATGAGGAGTGAGCAAAAGAGATCACGCAGGCAAGTCTTGCGTAGGTATGTGGTTAGTAGTGATATACAGTATCTTCAGCCACTACATACTAATCAGCTGCAACTGATTACATTTCCTCGTGTATTGAAGCAAGTTGCGAGTCTTCAGTAACTGAGTTGTGTGGTTCGGCGATGCTCGATGATCGATACCTTCGTGACTTCCAAGGTATTCACTGTTCCTGGAGTGCAAAAAGATAGCAATGCTGTGTATGTAATGGTGTAAAACTTTAAGCATAACCTGAACTGGAACATAGGATCAAGTGTATTTGAAGCCATTCAGGGAGGACAAGAACGAATACAACGCCGAGTCCCCTACCATGGATAGCCAGCGAGGCAGCTTACAGAACATTTGCTACGAGTCGACAATTCTGCTTCCGCCCGATCACTCTTCAACCCACATCTCAGTTCTTTGTATACAACCCATTTCCATTGACGGACAAAAAGACATTCTCTACGAAAATGAAGCTCCCAGATCTGACTTATCAATCTCTCGCTTTATCCCGCACTGAGAAAAAGGCATGTTCGCTTGCCTCAGCTACTGTCCTGCCCTGTCTGTTTAAATTGTTCCTGCTTCTTAGTCGCTGAGATCGCTGAGATGGGTGTCACCGGTGAGAATGAGAGAGAAGAAGACATGTACCTACCTACCTACATACCTACCTATTGCAACCCAACCAAAAGAGAAAAGAAGACAGAACGAAAAAAACATAGAAGAAAGTGAAGTCGTTTTCTTTTTAAAGTCACGCGCTGCCCTCGTGGGAGGAATGATGCCAAAGGATAGGCTGTCCGGCGCATACATACTTCCATACTACATATGTAGGTAGGTAGGTAGGTAGCAAATGTTTGGGTTTGGGGGTTACACGGGTGAGACGGGGTACAACGCAGAGTCGATGGAGGTAAGATGGGGGGATGGGGGGGATTTGGGACGGATTGAAGGGGGAAATGGGGGGGGAAATGAAATGTATTTTTGGGATTCGTTGGAAGACAGGAGGAGGAGGATCGTGAGAGTTAGGTAGGGTATCACTAGCAAAGATACATAGAGAGAGAGACTGGTTTAATGCATCGGCAATTATCGTGGTTCTCCTTGTCTTGTGGTGGTCTCTGAGGTGTATATTGTATTCGTCGACTTGTGCTTGGTGTAAGTGAGTGAGTGAGTGAGTGAGTGTGCTGTGTGTGCCTGTGAACCTGGAGGCATGGAAGAAGTGGTGAAAATGATGATGAATGTCACGATAAAAATTGTACTTGTCGAATGACTGCAAGATGTGATCTTATTTGGGGAAAGTGGTCAGTTCGTGTGAAGAGAAGCCTTTTATTTTGTTTATTTGCTATCTTTTTTGGACGGTGGCCATTGTTTTGTCCCTTCGTTGTTGTTAGTTGAAGGTTCGAGTCTGAAGAACAGGTCGAACATGGAGCAAAAAGTCTAATTCATCACCATGGCGCAGTTCATGTTCGGGATAACCCAAACTTTGCAGCGCCGGTACGGATGGTTGTTTCTTTGTCTTTTATTCCTCTTCTTTCTTCAAGTCGGTTCTCTCCTTTTTTCTCTTGTTTGTTTTCACGAACCTCTCAGCAAACTCATTCGCTTGGACAATTTCCTAACGTCCTTCCCCTCCGTTCCATTCGCTTTCACACGTGTGTGTGTTCTGTCGATCGCAACGAAGCTGTCAACAAATCTTGGCAACGTCGTCGTCGTCAAACGTCCCGCGTTGTCTCAATCCGAGACTACCAGGTAGGAATCTGTTGTCAACTTGTTTAGCATCCCTGTCTACCACGCACGCACTCCACGCACTCCACGCAAACTAAACAGCTAACGGAGCGGATACCGTCCAACAACGTCCGAAAACCTGTGATATGATGACCGATTGGCCGGACACCAAAAGACAAAAAAAAAAAAAAGAAAATATAGAACCGAAACACGAAACGTGTCGTTGTTCGCGCGTGCCCTGCCATGCCCTGTCCTGCCCTGGCATATTTGCTTGGCACCCTCCCGATTGGTTCTTGGTTTTGGTTTGAAGCATTATTCAGCACCGCTAAATTGACATCATTCATCCGTCCTTGGATCGTGTCGATGGTTTCTTCGATGGTTTCACAGGAAAGCGAACCTGAACCAAGCAAATTGCTAGTTGTTGTTGTTGTTGTTGTTATTTTTGACGTCTACTTCCGCCTCCCGTGGGGCATGAGACGTGCCACATCGGTGAATCTAGCATACAAAAATGGGAGCAGTGCCCTAACTGTCCACCAAACCCTTTAATCCGAGGGCAAACCGAGGCTTATTGCCAGTGTAAATCATGTGTTGCCCATATGCAACTTGATAGTGTACACTTATATAGTGTTTGTGACGGAAGATATTACTTGTGCCACGCCCCCACTTTTTTAGGACTCGCTAGACTCGTACCTCCTAAAGTGGGTGCTTACGGTCAGTACGGCTAACCTACTATAATGGCTATACATATATAAAAATGAGGTTATATTCAATTTTTTAAATTCTCTTTCTCAATATTCTCTTTTTACTTATATTAAACTTATAAACTTCGTATAGCAGGACTCTTCTCTCAAGCTTCCACTTTCTAATTAGCTTTACTGCCCTCTTAATATACTTTTTAGCCCTGTTTTTAATCTATTATTTCGCTTTATCAACTTTTTTTTATATAGTACAAAAGTCATTATTGTTATAGAGCTGAGTGCTCGTGGCTGATAAGCTCAGCAGCTGCCAGGCTTGTCACAGGTTGACATTGGCT